TGAGGGCAGCGGCGGGGCGGGAGCAGGGTGGCCGAGCGCTGGCAGCTCGCGCACATACTGCGCCGGCAGGTAGAAGGGGCGGCCGCCCGGCTCGCGCCGCACATGCCACCAGTGCTCCGTGCTGCGGCGTAACAGCCGGTAGCGCTCGTTGGGCTGTATGGCAACACGGCGCCCGTCCTTGCCCGTGTACTCAAAGGGATGCTCAACCAGCACGTACACGTCCCCTTCGACGTCCGCTGCCATCGCGGCCGCGGCGTTTCCCTGTGGGCAACAAGGAAGAGGGGCGCGGAGGTCAGGACCGCGGAGCCAGGAAGCGCACCGCCCCAGGGGGTTGGAAGATCTGGATTTGAGAACCCGAAGCTGCAATCGTCGTGTCTTTGGGCCTCAGTTTTCCTATCTCTAAAATGGGAGACTTGGATAAACTAATCTCTAAGGTTCTCATTCTTACACTCTGTGATGAGAATTAAGACAGCCTTTTCATTCTGTGGTGTTGATTATAAAATTCGAGGCCCGCTTCAATCCCTTGGTGGGGAGATTGTGGGTTATACTTGTCCAGCTTTACAATCAGAAGCCATGGCTGGGCTCAAAGGTCGATACTATATTTGCCTAAAAGTTGACTGAGCCTCAGTTTCCGAGTCTGTGAAGTGGGAAGAACAGCCCATTCCCCTATCCCCGTTCTGCCCCGCCCTGACGCTTCCAGCCCTCAGGGAATCGCGTCCTAGGCACCTCTTTCCCCGCCCCTAGGCTTCTGTGCCCCAGGCCAGCGGTGACAGGGTTGGGGCGCGGGCTCTGGGAGTGTCCCTGCCCTGCTTAGTCCAAGAGCCTTGGCGTAAGGGGCCGCGACTGCCAAGGCTGGGGGAACCGGTTCTCTCGGTTTCTCTTTCCTTCCCCAGCGCCTTCGCAGCAGTCGTGAACCCGGAGCCCGCCCCGCCCAGAACCGCCAGCACCACCCCTGCTCTCCGGCTCCCACCTCCGCCTCCTGAGAGAGGCTCGGTCCCCGTGGCCTGCCCACCTGCCTTGTGATCTCTACATTGCCCTGTAAAAGTGGCCACTAGAGAATGCAATTCGTGACAGTAACTACCCCTGCGGTGTACCCAGGAGCCTCCAAAGCTCTCCTTGAGTGATTACGGCAACCCACCCGCCTCCATGCCAACTCAGCCCGGCTCCTGGTGTGTCGGAGAGGGTGAGCCCAACTCTAAACCTTCCTGTGTCCCTCCATCAAAGCAATGAGTTGGTGGCCTCCTCCGGGAGTGGCTGGTCCCTCCAAGCCTTTACACCGACCACACCTCCTGCCCCACAAAGGTGGCCTGGGCCCAGCAGCTAGGAGCTTGTCCTCTCTGAAGCTGAGGGACCCCAGCTGCGGGGCGTATAGTGCTCCTTTACTTTCTCAAGCTTTCCTCGACGGGGAGCAGGTGTAAACTGGATCACTAAGCACACTGGACCCTGGCGGTGGGGCCCGTGAGCTGCCTGGAGCTAAGCCAACAGGACCAGGGAGGACATCCCTTCTCACCACCCTCCCCTGGACCCTCACAGCTCACTCACGTCGGCAGGGCGGGCCTCACCAAGCCCATGGGCTGGCTGGGCGGAGCCGGCAGATGGATGAAGTTTAGGTCCCTGCCATCTCCTTGGGCGGGGCTTCCAAGGGCTAGGCTGGAGAGACCTCCGGGAGCAGGAGCTGGCAAGCTGAGCAAAGAGGGAGAGGGACGCTCGGGAGGGCTGCCTCCAATTCCCACAGCGGCTGTGTCTGGGAGGGGCGAGGAGGAGCCTGAAAGAGTCCTCCCCGGCCTGTGGGGACTTTGGGGGCGGGGCCCAGAGGTAGAGAAGCCTGCAGGTGGGGCAGGGCGGGGAGGGCTGCGACTGAAAGGGCGCTGGCGGGTCGCAAGCGGAAACCAGGGAGGGTAGGGTTCTGCCTCTACCCCGCTCCTTGCGCCCCTGCACGGGATTTGTCTTCTGCAAGCCTCTGCGTCCCCCGGGCACGATGATCGGGGAGCGGAGGACTGCTCAACTCGGGCTCGGTGTCTCGCCTGGGCGTTATCAATCCGAGCAAAGCCATTGCATCCTGAACCGTCTGGATTGCTGGCACTACCCGTTCCGGGCCCATCGCCGTCCTCCCTAGACCTTTCCCGACGCAGCTCAGCGGGGCCTGGAAAAACTTGGAGCGGGATTCCCACGGCAGGGACGCTCACCGGAGCGCAGGGTCACGGGCTGGGTGGGGAGGGGACCCGACCCTTGGCTCCATCCCCGACTCTGGGGGAGCGAAGAGGAGAGGAGGGATTGGGGGAGCGGACAGGATCTCAGGAGCGCGGGGATCGACCAGTTACCAGGAGGTGCCCTGCGTCCACTGTCCGGGAGAGCCACAGCGGCGCCCACGCCTGGGCTGGCTCTGGAGCCTAGGCCGGGGCCTCTCCTGTCCCGGGAGGGAGGGCAGCCCTTCGCCTCCCACCTCCTCCTGGGGGGGAGGGGAGGATCCGTCCCGCGTGGCCCTCCTCCCGGGCCAGCGCAGCTCCTGCTCCAGTACGGTGCTAAGGGGGCAGGCGACCGGTGCTTCCGGACCGGTGAGAACCCGCCAACTACGGTCCTCCTACCCCCACCCCAGCTCAGCACCCCTGCCCAGTCCGGCCCGGCCCTGGCACCTTGGGGTGTCCGCTCGCTGGCCTCACCTCCACTTGTCCAGGCTGGCGCGCGGGGGCTTGGCGTCCGGTGCTCCCTCCTCCACCGCCCAGCTCCCGTGCTGCCCCGTTTCCTGTTCAACAATATAGCGAGGGAGGCACCAGCGGAGAGCACCCGGCAGAACTTCCTCCCGGGCTGGGGTTGCGGCTGCGAGAGACAATCCCCGGTGTCCTGGCTTCCTGTCCCCTCTGGGACGGGCCAGCGCCCCAGGAGCAGAGACGCCACCCCCTTCCCCTGCACCTCCCGGGATCCTGGGCCACACCTGGCTGTCTCCCGGAGGTGGAGGCAGCAGGGCCAGGATGGTGGGATGAGGGGGGAGGCAGCCTCCTCACCAACTTCTGGCCAGATTACCCTCCCACTGCTCTATTCCACACCCTTCCCTCCACTGCCTTGATCCTTGTCGGGGAGAAGGGCCCTCTCCAATCTGCCCATTGGGTAAGCTCAGAACAATCTTCTGGGGGGATATAGCTCAAGTGGTAGAGTGCATGCTTAGCATGCATGAGGTCTTGGGTTCAATCCCCAGTACCTCCCTTAAAAATAAACCTAATTACCTCCCCTCCCAGCCAAAATAAAATAATTAAATAGTACTATAATAAAAATTAAAAAAAGAACAATCTCCTGAGGCTGCACTCAAGATCCTCACCTTATCTCTGCATCTCAGTTTTCTTTCCTGTAAACTGGAGACAGTAACACTTGCTTCATAGGATTGTTGATTAAATGATATGCACTAAGCACAACATATTGTTATTGTCACATTATAGGAACACACATTATATTAGTTATTATCACTAATTTTACTGAGATGAGCTGTCCTCTTTGGGTTTGGATTGAGGTCTCCAACCCCCTGCCCCCGCCCCTCCACATCCTTCTTCAGGTGGGAGGGGTAAGGGAGAAACAAGTGTTCTCAGAAGCACCTTGCTAAGGATAGAGGCACTGAGTTCAAAGGCAGGACAGCACACAGGTCACCTGTCCCTGGCCCTCTTCTGGGCCGGCCTCGTCTCGCCCACAGCCCAGGCTCCTCCTTCTATTCCCTCCTACTCAGAGCTGACCATCACCTGCTCTTGAGGGAATGTGGGGCTCATGGGATGGACAGAGGGTGCTCTCTTGTAGGCTGAAAGGAATCTTCCAGGACAGGAAACTGCAGACCTGAATGTCATTCAGTCGCATTCTCCTGCAACCCAATTTCCCTGGGAATTAATCTGTTTCCTTCTTCTGTCCTTACAGTGGGCAGTGGTGGGCTTCTCCCTGCTGGCCCCACCACCACCTGGCCATAGGCTTCTCAAACTTCACAGGAAGGTTGGCAGCCAAGCAAAGGCCACTTTGAGCCTAAAAACCATGATCCGTGAATCAGCCCTGCTCATAAATCTTTCCTTCCTGAGACTTCTCTCACCTTGAGTAACCCAGTGGGAAATACAGTCCTGTGGTTTCACATGTTCCAGTGTCAGGAGTCTGCTTTGGCACTTAAGGCACAGGAAAGAAGCCATCATTGTGGGATCTCCGGCATTAGCTTCAGTTACATATGAGTGTATGTGAGTAAACCTCCCCGAAGGCCCTGAAATTCTGCCCCCCCGGGGGGCCCTGACTCTGAGGCGAGGGTGGGGTATAGACTGAACAGTCACTTCCCCTCTTCCCCATACCCACTCCTGGCACACTAGCTCCCTGCTTGCAAATGTTTATGGGTAACTGTCCCCCTCCAGGCCTCCCCTGTGCCTAGAGATTGACTGACAAGAGTTGGGGGTGAGAGGCCCTATCAGATGGCAATGGAGGGCCTGTGGTTTCCTGGCCCCAATCAGCAGCAGTAAGATTGAGAAACCAGACCACAGATTAGAAAGATCAGGTCTTTACTGCAAAATCATTCAAAAATCACACAGCAGCAGTTCCTTCCATACATTGCAAAGCACTTCTCAGGGCCAGAGCCCCTCACTAGAAACAGTTTATTGCATAAAATGAAAATTTTAAAATAGTGTGGGCACTACTGAGGTTCACATCAGCTTTCCATTGGAGGTGAGGGAGTAAAAGTCAACTCATTTGAAAACATTAGCAGCTTTTTGGTACGGGGGTGTGGGGGGGTCAGCTCTAATGCTATGGATCTCAGGATCTCTGGGAGGGCGGGAAGTGGGGTGCGCCAGGCCCTGCCTGACCAAAGTGAGCTCCTCCAGGGCCTCACTCCCACTGCCTCCTCGGGCACCTTCTGGAATACAGAATATACTCACAGGCCCGAAGAAACAGGGCCGGGCTCAGGCAGCACTACCCACCCCAGGCCCACTCAGGGATCTGGCCTAAGTACAGCTCTGATCAGGCTGTGTTTGTGGTGCAGTGGTAATGCTGGCTGTGGGGGATGGGGGTGGGGATAAGGATCCACTTCCACTTCAGGAAGAGTTGATGCGCTGGGCACAGGTGTGCACCATCTTCCGTGATGGGGACAGGGAAGCTGTGTGGCAGTCCCCTCCCCCTCACCTGCCTACTGTAATAGAGAACAAATATGACTCCATACTGGATCTGTTCCTTTAGTTTTAACCACTGTGCCCTGTTTTCTAGGCTTAGTCTTGCTAGCTCTGCACCTTTTGTAAAACAACGTTGCCTTTAGCCTGAAATACAGGAGAGCCTATTCCCAGGGCTCTGACCTTTAAAGATGCTAGCACTTCTGCACTTATGTGGAGATGGCAAGTTGCAAAATAGAGAATAACCTTTGTTTTTGTTGGGGGTTTACAGGGACACCATGGCCTGACCCACATGGACCACTGCAAGAAAAGAGAATTCCTGCAGCAAGAAGTTTGCAACAACCAACCACATCCCCTCCTCTATTTTTTTTTTTTGTATAAAAGGAGCCCATATTCTGACTGGAGCAGGGTGGTTCTCCAAGACATTAGTCTGCCATCCTCTCGGTCTGCTGGCTTTCCAAATGGTTGCTATTCCTTCCCCAGCACCTCGTCTCCAGATTTACTGGCCTGTCGTGTGGCGAGCAGAACGAGTTTGGACTCAGTAACACTACCACCTCCTTTATATTCTATTGCACAATTTATCCAGCTCCACAGGGCTGGGCAGGTGACTCAGCAGCAGAATCACCCCAAGGGAGAGGTGGGAGTATGTTCGTCTCTTGACACTGAAGGTGGATCTCCACCTGAGGCCCCCAATCCAAGCTGAGTGCAGAAAGGATGGCCAGAGGACCACAGGGCTGAGGGCGGTCTGCTGGGTCCAGGAGAGGTGGGGGAAGGCCACAGAAAAATCATGCCTGGATTCCCTCCAGACCCCAAGGGTTCCAATATCACTTTGAAAACAATTCCAGGCTCCCACCCCTCTCTAAGGTCCCTTCAAAAGGCAATTGCGCTCCGATGAAATTTTCTAGTCTCTGGCAGTGCCCCTCCTGGGCCAGTCCAGCCAAGCTTTGTGAATTCATGGCCTTGTAAACTGAGGCTGAGCATCCTTCCAAGAGGGTGGCTTCTCCTGCATGTCCATGCACATCTCAGCAGCAGGGCTGGCACTCTTCGTGGAAGGACGGGGGTCACTGTTCCATAACGTGGGGCCTGGCAGTCATGCTGCCCGAGGCCAGCCCCTGGCTTGGGCTCACTGCCCTCTCTGTGGGCCCAGCCTACCTCTGTCCTGGCGGGGGTCAGTCAGGTGGGGATATGTCCCCGAAGAGCGTCTGCAGCAGCACCTTGCCCAGCTGGCTGCTGGTCGGTGGTAGGAGTGAGAAAGGCAGAGGCCAAGGGGTGGGCAAGATGATGACCCCTCCTGGGACCAAGGAAGGCTCCAAGTGCTGACAGTGCTGCTTCCGAGTCATTTCCCTTCTCCTGCGGCACTGAGATCCCAAGCTACAGGAGAGCCTGGGCTCTGACATGGAGAAAGCGATGGGCTTTTTGGGTGAGGAGGAGGCGGGGAGCAGACAGGAGAGGGAGGAGGTGGTGGGGTCATCAGGACTGAGCCTGCCCGGCCCCACGGTGGTTTGGCACATTGCACATGAACCGTTGGCAGCAAGTGCCTGGCGAGGACGAAGGAAGGGCACCGCCAGTGGGCGAGATTTCTGTCCCAGGCGGCCTGTCTACCCAGCCACCTCCCACCTGCAGGCCAGGCCTGAGCAGTTCCTGCACATTTGCTCAGGGTGAGAATGCCTGGATTTCTTGGGTGACTTGCGGAGGGTTAAGAATAAAAAAATATTTTCTGTTGAAATATGAAGGGGAAAAACCCACCTTAAAAAACTAGACCTTTTAATCAGGAATGTGGAATTGAAAATGCTCCCCAAGTCTTGTTTCCACAGTGTTTGGACAGCCCTGAAGGAAATGCCATGTCAGTGAGGGGAGCCGAGGCCCAATTAGTGCAAGGCCCCCTCCCTGCTGCCCCCTCGGATAAGGGACATCTGCTGGTGTCCCGGCTTCCTGGAGCAGATGGGTGGGGGGCAGAGGGCATCATCAAGGGCTTCGGAGGCTCCCTCTCTTAGGCTCGTGCTCTGGTCACATCCAAGAGTCTTCCAGACAAGGGAGATATGGGTGGGTGGCACCTTGAGGGTGCAGCCCCGGGCTGCTGGCCAGCGCAGATCGGGTTAGGTGAGCGTGCTCTGTTCCTGGTACTTGCGCCGGCGGGCACAGCGGGGGCAGCCCTTCCTTACCACGGCCTGGCAGCTCTGGTGGAAGACGGTCTTGCATTCGCCACACCTGGGAGAAAGCGGCAAGTGCTGCTGGGGCCAATGGGCTGGGCCCTCCTGAGGCTGAAGGCTGGCTGGAGTTGCTGATCAGAGCCCGCATAAGGCTACGCTCTACCCACAACCAAGGCACATGGGCACTACCTCTGCTCCGGGACCAAAGATCCTCTTGACAACACTTACCTCTAAGTCCTGCAGTGCACAGTGGTACCCTCTATTCTATTTCCCTTTCCATAAATACCGCTTGACTCACAAAATGATTCCTCGCCTATGTTTCAAACACTCTGCAGTTTAAAAAACTCAGCCATAGGTCTGTTCAGGGGTTGAATCTGGGCCAGGGGACACCTATTGAAAGTGAACTAATGCTTCCACCACTGCACTTTCCACTCCCACATGGGTTGGAATGGAGGTTTGGTGCCTGAAGTTTTCCATTTAGAGGCTTCTGATGATGAGCAATAACTGGGGACAAGAGCACTGGCTACAGGGGCAGTGATAGTGGCAGGTGCCACCCATAAGCTGTCCACTTTGTGCCCAGCCTTGTGCCAACACGCCAGGGCCATAACTCATCTAGTCCCTCCTCCACCTGTTGGTAGATGACAAAACTGAGGTCCCCCCACCCCACCGCAACTCCGAGAGGCAGCAGCTGCCTCTTCTCTAGGAAGCCGGGTGGCTCAGCAGAAGCAGGGGAGTCCTATGAGGGATCGTCTTGTCCCCCTCAGTACCCTGAGGCACTGGCACAGAGAGGATGGTCACTATGCTGCACACAGTGGCCTGGGCCTGCCAGCCTGGAGTGTGGGCCAGCTGGCAGTGGGGCGGGGCAGCTGGCTGGGTGTCTGCATACCTGAC